AAATGTCCAGTAGAGCCACCTTTGGGTTGATGTAAGGAGAAGGAGGAAGAATTCAGAGGAGGGCAGGGAACGTTATACACAAAAGATGTGAAGCCAAATCATCACTCGTGTTAAAACAAAGAAACAGAAAATGTGTTGTGCTGAGCTTGGTGGCAGAGATGACGGGTGTGGCGGGAGGTTCTAGAACGCAGTTGGAGGACACACAGCAGCTCGCTGTGCCTAGAGCAGACAGGAGCCGCCCACAGGCGAGGAGTGGGGGCGGGGAGAAGGAGCGTGGTGGGCAGGACCTGCGTCCCACGCGCGCCCTTGCCAGCTCTGTGGCAGAGCCGGAGCGCCACCGCCAACCAAAGGGCGGCTGTGTCTTCCGCTAGTTTCTGAACAGACGGAGCACATGACTGGCCGCCTTCAAACCCCAAATGCTGGAGGAGCTTTGAACGATGTGAGCACGCCCTCTCTGACGTGTGGGTTTGCCGGCACTCACCCTGGGCGCCGCTTTGAGGTGAGTCCCGTTCTCACAGCGACGAGATCCCAGCGCATCCATGCCGGCTCTGTCTCTCCACGACCGCTCAGCTCTCCTCAGCTCCCTTCCGTAGCCCTGCAAATGGACAGAGATGGTAAAGCATCAGCTGTGTGTCGTATAAAGGAAACATGGTTCATGGCCACAAGCGGAGAAGCAGTGCACCGTGCACTGACTCATGGAAGGCCCCAGACCTGGGACTGCCCAGGCGGGCAGCCTTCCCTAGCGAGGACAGAGGGGACACGAATGAAGCAGGTCCATGACTCCACAGACCTGAACCAGTTACCAAGAACCAAAGAGCCCAAGTCAGTAAGGCAAGGAAAGAAGAGGAGGGAAAGCAGGGTGGACCGTGAGCTGGGGCCTTGCAGAGGCTTTCCAGCCCAGGCCTGTGCTCAGGGGGACAGAGAGCCGCTTGATTAATGACACTTAACGCGTCCTGCATCCTGCCAAGGACAACACTGAGATTTCAAGAGAACTACCAGCACTATAGACATCACGCTTACTTTGGACTCCTTTAGATATATTTTGGGCAAAACTGAGTCATGGTTGAAGTATTTCATGTGCAAAGCAGTTAGGTTGATGTTTTGTTCAGGCTTTGGTAGAATATTTTGTTCTTTTCCATGTTAAACACAGGGGTTGGTCTTGAACAGCCCTAGCCCTGGCCTTGCGCGCCCGCAGCCATCGATGGTGACTAAGCATCAGGTCAGGTGGATCACGCCAGTGTGCATCACGCAGTGCCCTGCAGGGATGCTGTCCAAGTAGGAGACAGCATGCAAACGCAACTGGGAACTTTTCAATTTATGTAGACATTCCGTGCTTGCTGGACAACGCGAGGAGAGTATCAGAATGTCTGAGCTGTACTTGATTGTGAGAGTCTGAATTCCTTTCCTGCTTTCTCAGATCTGGTGCTTCCTACAAAACAGCAATTCCACAGACATCTCTGCAGAGCAAGCATCGCACAGAACTATTGCTTTCTGCTTTGATTTCAGACAGACTGGCAAATCCTTTTTTCTTGTTCTAACATGTATGAAGAGCAATGCTTCTTATTATCAGTGCGCAGTAATTGGATAAGTGAATGGGTTTCACTGCAGCATTTCCAAATACTTACGTGTTTATGCTCTGAGCATGTCCCCCTTCCCCTCTATAGAAGAGTAGTATTTAAGCAATGTTCTAGATTCTTTTTTTTAATCATCCCCTGCTCCTAGCACTAACTATGTGTAGGCACATTTATCAAATGTACGGTTGATACTAAGTAGATAAGTGTGTGAACAAATTCCAATTTTACCAATGAGGAGATGGCATGGTTTTGCGATTTTCATTTTGTCTGTTTCTGGCCTGGCACATAGGCCAGCCAGGATGGCAGAGGGAAGGATCTGTCCGTCAAACTCAGGGTCAGGTCCACCTCCTGTGGGCAGGAAGCTACCAAGCCTGGAAGGTTGCTGGGCCTCTGTGTGCCCCACTAAAGCCCAGAGGCCTGGCTGTGGAGGGGGATGACACGGTCACGTTCACAGGAGAGATGGGAGCCGCGCTTGAAACCGTCGGAGCACTCTCTGTAGGGCCACAGCCTCCCGTTCACCTTCACGAGGTTGCCTGTCACCCTCTCCAAGGTGATGCTGCCCTTACACACTCCTTACACCCCCTTACACACTCCCACCCTGTCCAATGAGGTGCTGCGGGTGACGGGAAACCTGGGACATTTTCCAAGAGAAAGGGCTGGAAGTGCTAGCACTGAGCAGATGAGGACGCTGGATCCCTTTGTCTTCTCTGCAGTGATGAGTGAGCGTCTGAGACAAACTTCATCTTTTAGTTAACCCTCTACATGCCGGACATCAAAGCCAAGGGAGAGGGGAAAGCTAAGGCACCGAGCAATTTGGAATATGAGGTGTCTTGAGAGTTCTTACATGGATCCAGAATTCGTAGTGATCCAGCTCCTCTATCCGTCTCTGTCTTGGGTTTCATAAACAAGAGCTGTTTGCTGACCAGTCTCATCTCATTTCTCAGAGTCCAAATCTTAGAGAACAGTTTTCAGATGGATCACACATACTTTCTGTGACCGAATCCTACTGCCGCCACCCCCACCCCCGGCCCTGCCAGCCCCACCTCCAGCCAGAACAACCCCTCCCCCTCCCCCCCCCACTTCTTTTTCCCCCTGAGGGCGTGAAAGCACACATTTCTGAGGTTTGTGCAGAAGAATGTGCCCTGACTCCTTCAGCTGCGTGCAGGGCGTGGAGGGCAGCCGGAGCAGAGCCTCGCACCCCTTCAGCTGGGGTCCTTCCGTTTCCCACATTTTTCTGATTCCCATTCTTGAGGCTTCACCTCCCCTTGAGGAAGACGATGGTGCAAACAGTACCCTGGTGGGAGTGGTGAACTGCTGGTGGGCTGGGCTTGACAGAATCCTCACAAGCCACCAGCTTCTTACCATGTTCAACTGTTCAGTGGCTGAAAGAACACTGAAACAGTCAGTCAACAAATAGACTATTAGTATAAGCATATTAATATGCCTTGGGGTAGGTACTGAAAAGAACTTTCTGTCTCTCTCTGATCCACACACCACCACCAAAACCCAGAGCAAAACTACCACCGCCAGTGTAAATCTCCTTTTACTTCTTATACTCAAGGATGTATACGGTTCAGTGCTTACAGTCTGCTGGGCGCTGCCCTGCTGCATCCACTGAACGATGCAGCACACCACGTCCACCCAGCAGCCTCCTTCCACACCGGGGCGCGGGAATCTGAGCTACGTGTGCTTACTGTGTCGCTGTGGCCCTGGCACTGGCTTCAACCTCCCCATCTCCTCTCCCCGCCTCTCCTGACCTCTCCCAGCCTCTCCTGACCTCTCCCCGCCTCTCCCGGCCTCTCCCGGCCTCCCCCGGCCTCTCCCTGCCTCTCCAGGCCTCCCCCGGCCTCCCCCCGGCCTCTCCCCGGCCTCCCCCGGCCTCTCCCCGGCCTTCCCCCACCTCTCCCCGGCCTCCCCCGCCTCCCCCGGCCTCTCCCCGCCTCTCCCCGCCTCCCCCGGCCTCTCCCCGCCTCCCCCGGCCTCTCCCCGCCTCTCCCCGCCTCTCCCGGCCTCCCCCGGCCTCTCCCTGCCTCCCCCGGCCTCTCCCCGCCTCCCCCGGCCTCTCCCGGCCTCTCCCCGCTTCTCCTGGCCTCCCCCGGCCTCTCCCGGCCTCCCCTGGCCTCTCCCGGCCTCTCCCGGCCTCTCTCAGCCTCCAGAGCCCTGCGCCATATGCATGTGCCATCCCACCCACTCCTGCTTTGTCGTCTGAATGTCAGAATGTCTTCACTTGTAAGTTCCTCCAAGACTCTGCACGAGAGGATGCTCTGTGCGTGCTCAGGCACAGGCGTTGTCGGGAGAAAGTGTCTACGGGCCTTTAGCATGCTTGCCTTCCACAGCGTGTTCTTCCCTGAAAAACGTGTAAATCTTGCATACTACAACTGGGATGCCATAAAGATAAATACGTTAGTTATCACGAAAGCATGAATGCAGCTTAAAGGCTCACTGTTTTCTTCCATCTTAAAATGAGCGGATCCCTGAGGTAAGATTGCTCATACCACGTGGGATCCCCCGCGCCCCTGCCCTAAGTCCCCCTTCCACCTGTGGTGGCTGGTGCCGCCCCCCCAGACAGGATGAACGCCACCCTCAGCGCCGATCTTCTGGGAGGGAAGTGGGGTCTTGCTGTGCGTGCTAACAGAGAGAGAGCTGTCTTCCTCAGGTGGCCCTGCAAGTCACGGTCAGACATGGCATGCGACTCCCGGGCTCCACCACGCAGGGCCGCGGGGCCGAGGGTGGCCTCTGGGGCTCGGGCCCAGGGTCGTCCCCTGCGGAGCATAGCCTTCACAGTGGAAGTCCTCACTGCATTGTTTACCATGCCTGTGGCCTAGAAAAAAAATCATTCCGTCTTCAAACTTCAGTTTTTCTCATCTTCAAAGTGGGGGGAATGGGTAGAAGCAATGCCGGCTCCTAGAGGGCTTATGAAGAAAGGACACGTGAGCTTATCTGTCCACAGAGCCGTCCCCAGCCCAGCTCTCAGGGAGTGACGCTGCTGTTCCCAGGCCTGCGGCCTGCGGCGGGGAGCCAGAGCTGGGCTGCCCGGGGAGAGCCGGGGCACAGCCCGGGCAGAGCCGGGGCACAGCCCGGGGAGAGCCGGGCAGAACTGGTTGTGTCGAGGGGGTGGAAAACAACTCAAAGGAGCTAAGCTAGACCTAGGGAAAGACTGTGCTTTTTGTTTGTTCTTTGGTAGGTGTTCGTTCTGAGGCCCCTGCTCTCCTGAGCCCGGGGGCCAGGCGTTAGCAGCGTTGGGTGTTGTGCACGTGACCACAGCTGACACGGCTCTGTGTCAGCAGAGGAGAGCTGGAGCGCCTCACTGCACACCGGCACGCCACCCTGAGCTGCAGCCGCTCCCCCCGAGCCCGTGTCTCAGGCACAGCCTTAGAACTCTTTTTGTTGTTTGTTTGTTTGGGTTTTTTAACTGTATTTTTTTGCCTTTTCTTTTTTGGCACTGGGGATCGACCCCAGGACATTGCACCTGCTAGGCAAGCGCCTCACCGCTGAACTACATCCCAGCCCTCATTATAACTCTTGGTTTAAGCAACCAAGAGTTACCGTATGAGTTCAAGCTCATAAGGCTTTGTTATAAACATTCCATTGTCTGCGAGGAAAGCAGTCACAGAGCTGACCTAGGGCTGGACTCAGCCTCGCACCGGAAGTGCGTGTCTCTCCTGTCTGTTCCTCTCTCTCTCCCTTCCTGGAGACATACTTTCCTGTTGCTTTAATTGACACAAGTGAACTGAGGCTCCCAAGTTTTGGGAATCACTACACAGAAGAGAGCCCGGCCTGCTTTCCCTAAGTCTGGAAACCCCAGGTTGATTGATCCAGTTTGGGTCCAGTGCCTTCCCTGGTCACCCACCAGTGCTTGTGAAAGACTGAAGCTTGTTTGCCAGTGTCTCACGTCACCGTAACTGCACTCCTGCCGGGGTGGGAAACGAGGCAGGGCAGGGATGATGGACACAGGCGCCGGTGAGCTGCATAGGACCACGCGGCTCCCTCCCAGCCCTGTCCTGCTTGCCTCCTGGCCGCTCTCAATTCCTCCTCATTTAACCTGAGAGCCCCAGGCCCTTTCACGTGAGTTTGGCCCTGCCCGGGACCATTCCAGCACACAGTGTAGAAATGGCACAGAACCACGCAGATCTCAGGAAAAGCCCAGGCCTAGCGCTTCACAGCTCTGTGGCCCACCGGCCAACCCTTCCTCATCTGTAGAACGGTGGCCATGCCACCAACCAGGGTTCTCCGGAGATGATGGGATGTGGACTGCAGCCCACACCTGGTCCCTGGTCACACTGACCTCCTTCTCTTGGTTCAACCACACATCTTTCTGAAGGGCAGCAAGTGGCTTCTAGTGAAGAAGGAAGAAAGAGAATTGCTAGAATTTTCTGTCCAGGAAGTATTTCTGCTGTCTCTGAGCAAACATTAAGTATTTAGCGAGTTGAGACCACTGGGAAAGTCACAGGGTGGAGACAGATCAATGAAGATTTGACTTGCCCTCTTTTCTCCTTTTATAACTTTTTGGTGTGACTGGGTTGTCCCTAAGCCTTACTTGATAACGTACGGTTCGTAAAGTGCCATTTGTTCAGTGAATAAACTGTGTAAGCACGCTGCTACTCAGGGCCCCTTGCAGAAGGTAGTAGGCCGTACGTTTTCTGAGTTGTTGAGAGCCTGGTGCTAAACTCTGCCGTACATTGTATCTTTCTGCCCACCATTAGCGGCCGTCACCCCATTGAGACCCAGACACAGAAGTTGCCAAGCTCCCGTGGCACGCGGTGTTAGGATGGATTTGGCTGTGAGCCTCGAACACCTGTGTAGTTCCATCTCTCAACACCTGGGTTTGTGTTACAAGACTTAGACACTGCCAACAGAAGCAATCTGTGCTCAGATTTGTTTGATAAATAGCCATCTCATGGCTTCTGTCTGTCCACACAGCAAGCACCCAGGCACCCGGATCGCCAACAAAGCACGAGGGTTGTGGGAATGGCCGCGTGCACACAGGGCTGAACATGAGTGATGCATTTCCTGCCACCCAGCTCACAGTATGCCCAGACACAGAGCAGTGTAACAACACAGAGAAAACAAGGCTCGGGATGGCCAGCACGTCTCAGACCAGAGAACAGTTCTGACGATTCGAGGACAACAGGAGCTGGACATGTTGCGCTGTGTTTAACATGCTGTGCGCCACTCACTGGAAGGTGCCTGGGGCTGTGTGTGTGCTGGTGTGACCAGCCTGCTCTGGCGCAGGATAATTCCTTCACCCTCTGACCTGTGCAACAAGCCACAGGGGCTCAGTGATCTCTGACCCGGTTGACCTGTCCCTCCAGAAGCATTTGGTGTCACCTGTTTGGGCCTCTAGAGTTCCTACCTGTGCCACTCTGGGATGCATGGGGTGATGTTTCACTGTGAAAGCCGGCAAGCATTTCAAAGCTATGATGCTCTTCATTAACAACTGCACTGATATCTCATGACTTATTTTTTTTCCTTTTTTTATTCCCTCAGCTCCAAGGCTCCTTGAAAAGAAAGCAGGCAATCAGCCTGTCTCCTGTCAACAAGAGGCCCAATGGCTTTGTGGACAACTCCTTCCTGGATATGAAGAGAATCTGTGTTGGGGAGAGCCTCCCTGCAGGGCAAGGCAGCCTCCACGTCAGTAACGGACCGAGTCAGCTCCTGGTAGGGGCCGTGCCCGGGAGCCAGGCAGCCCTGCGAAAGGCCAGCACCCTGCCTCCACCGGCACACTCGCCCGGCAGCAGCCTGTTCAACACGGGCTTGAAGGAGGTGAAGAAGGAGCCAGGAGAGGCCCTGTCTTGCAGTAAGCACATGGATGGACAGATGGTCCAGGAGAGCGTCTTTCCTGATAGGTTCGGAGACGAGCCTGGGGAGCAGCTCATGGACCCGGAGCTGCAGGAGCTCTTCAACGAGCTGTCCAACATCTCTGTGCCACCCATGAGCGACCTGGACCTGGAGAACATGATCAACGCCACCATTAAGCAGGATGACCCATTTCACCTTGACCTGAGCCAGCAAAACCAGAGGAGCACGCCCAGGCCCTCCCTGCCCATGGAGAAGATAGTAATCAAAAGTGAATTCTCACCCGTCCTGACCCAGGGCCCCTCCAGCTCTCCTCAGCTGAGGCCCCCATCGGCCGGCCCGGCCTTCTCCATGGCCAGCTCTGCCCTTTCCACTTCATCCCCAACCCCGGCCACCCCTCAGGGTCAGGCCCAGGCCCAGGCCCAGACGGCACCCGGAGTGAGCCGGGCCCTGCCAGGCTGGCAGGAGGTGTCCCATGCCCAGCAGCTCAAGCAGATCGCAGCCAGCCGCCAGCAGCAGGCCCGGACGCAGCAGCACCCTCCAGCCCCGTGGCCAGCCCTGCCCTCGTCCACTGGGCCATCCCCAGCCGCGTTTGGGCAGGAGAAGATCCCCAGCCCTTCCTTTGGCCAGCAGCCGTTCAGCCCGCGAGGCTCCCCCATCCCTGGGGTAGCTGGGAGCAGCAACCAGCCAAAAGTCATGGCTAGCTACATGTACAAAGCTGGCCCTGCGGCCCCAGGGGCCGCCCTGGACGCACTGCTGCAGCAGAAGCCTCCAGAGCTCAGCCGGAGCTTTCTCAACAGCTCGCACCAAGCCTTGGAGCCCCGGCCGGGCAACACCAAGCCTCTGTTCCATTTTGGCTCGGATCAAGCAAACCAGCAGTTGCCTTCTGTGTTGCCTTCTCAGAGCAAGCCTTCACTCCTACACTACACACAGCAGCAGCCGCAGCCGCAGCAGCAGCAGCAGAACTCACTTGTAAATCAGCAGCCGCCGCCAGCACCCCAGGCCAGCCATCCTCTGTCAAGCCAGCCGCTGCTGAGGTCACCACTGCCACTTCAGCAGAAGAGCCTGCTTCAGAAGATGCAGACTCCGTCCCTCCCAGGCCTGGGCTGTCAAGTTGCACAGCCGCACCGACAGGTAAGGCTCCAACCCTGCACTCCAGGTTCCAGGGACTGATCAGAGTGGTCCGATGCTCTGGTTAGGACTAGGTGGACTCAGGAGTGGTCTGACGCTCTGGTTAGGACTGAGTGGACTCAGGAGTGGTCTGATGCTCTGGTTAGGACTGGGTGGACTCAGGAGTGGTTTGACGCTCTGGTTAGGACTGGATGGACTCAGGAGTGGTCCGACGCTCTGGTTAGGACTGGGTGGACTCAGGAGTGGTCTGATGGTCTGGTTAGGACTGGGTGGACTCAGGAGTGGTCCGACGCTCTGGTTAGGACTGGGTGGACTCAGGAGTGCATGTGAAGACTTCGTAGGACAGGTTCACTTGCAGTACCTGAAGACACAGGCTGAGATCTGGGATAGTCAGTAGTTTTTGCTCATTAAGACTATTTAATTATTACACAAAAATGTTGCCTTCTAACTCATGTAATTGGTGCTCATTTGTCAGTCCATCTGCTTTGCTCGGTGGTTAGGTCAGTAAGTACTTCCAGAGTCTGTTTCTCATGAGCAAAATCAGGGGTGAGAGAAGGGGTTGAGAACAACTCAGATTTATCGATGATGATACTAGGGAAGAACTTTTTCTCTCGTCACACTTGACATCAGACATAGGACTCACTGTGGGATTTGTAGCTGGGCCTTTAGCCTTCGACCGTCACAGTCCCAGCTCCTGCTGTAGATCTGTTGCTGGAGGTGTGTTCAGTTAGTTTAGTCGTGAGCTTGAGGGATTCTCACACCCGCTTCCTCTTGCTCTGTCCGCCATCCCCCACCGTCACCAGTGGGAGCAATGCTTTGTGTTGGATGTGGCATAATCAAATTGTGTGAAGAATGGTTTCAAGTCATTCCTTCTGTTGTCTGGGAGAAAAATGGTATTTGATATTTTACACAATGTCTTCAGTGGCCTCATCTTGCTGATATTTTCATGCTTGGAATGCGTATTACCTCCTGGCTACAGTTTTCTTCCCGTCCTGATTTGCAGTGTCAGGAAAGGGTGAGAAACGGCCCTTGGATGATGAGGACTCATGAGGGCTCCATGCCAAAGGAGTGGTCTTACTTGGGGCTATAGAATCAGTCACTCATAAAGTGTGCATTTTTCATAATGTTTGATCTAGGCTATATTTGGTTAGAATCCTCCCATGTCTCAAACTTCTGGGAGGGCAGGCAGCCAGTGAGTGGATGGTTTGTTGTGACTGAAACGTATATTTATACATTTCCTGCTTAGTTTAAAGCCAAGATCCTCAACCTGTGTTGTAACCTCAACCCACTCTCTCTACCTACCCATGCTTGTTCCTTGCTGTTCCATATCAATCCTTGGTGTGAACCGGGAAGTATCTGTCGACTTCCCCACCGCTTTAAAGGAGGGTTTTATGCATCTCTGGTCTTCAGCTAAACAATCAGGAAATTGCTTCCAAGTGGCTGGGTGTTGGTGGAAAAAAAATCTCACATGCTGCCATTCCTTTTTTTTTTTGTCGGTCGTGGGTCTTGAACTCTGGGCCTGGGCGCCGTCCCTCAGCTCTTCAGCTCTAGGTGAGTGCTCTACTACCTGAGCCACAGCACCACCTCTGGTTTTCTGGAGATAAGAGTTTATTGGAGATAAGAGTCTCATTGACATTGCTACCGGGCTGGCTCTGAATGGCTTTCCTCAGATCTCAGCCTCCTGAGTAGCTAGGATGACCGGCGTGAGCCACCGTTGCCCGGCTCTTCTAATTTTTTATTATTACTCAATGAAAGAAATTACAAGCAAGATTGTATTGGCTAAAACGCCTTCTCCAAGAGGAACGTGGTGGTGAATCCAGTGTTCTACAGTCACCTAACACACAAGCCTTGCTCGCACTGAGGGTTGTTCACAGAGGACAATGCCAGGGTCTGAGTTTAGAGACTAGACTGAGGGAAGAAGAAATTGGGAGCATAGAGGACCAAAGTCATAAGGAAGCAGGGAAACAGTTCATCAGAACCTAGGAGTGAGACCAAAGAACAGCAACAAGCCTGGGTCAAAGGTGACATGTTGGCATGGAGTCGGGGGTGGAGGGATGGCGCAATGAGTCAGAAGAGACCCAAAGACCACTCTGAATGCCTCTCCACCCATCATGGCTCACTTTGGCTGGGTACTGCTAGGGAGGGAGAAGAGGTGAAGGCAGGCGGATCACAGGCTGTTAATGACAGATCGGGACAATTATGTGGACATGTTCACTGTGCCTTAGATGTTTAATGCTCTATCTTCTAAGTTTACAAAGGGAAGAAAAATCCGGGTTAAGCACTCTACTCGCCTGGCCAAAGCTTAGATCAGGTGCAGAGTGGGTTTCCAGCTCTGTGTGTGCATGTAATTAGGCTGAGAGGTTCTATGGGGTTTTTTTTTTAAGGGCAACATGATGTAGCCCAGGCTTACCTCAAATTCCTACTCCTCTTCTCCCTCACTTGTCATTATAACTGTACACCATCACGCCCACTTTAGCACTGAAGAATCTTAGTTGGAAAAAGTAGCAGGAGGGAATTTGTATGGTTTGTTGCTTTGTTAATTAAAAAAACAAACAGTACCAATTCTGTGTCATATACAAATAACCCAAATGGACATGTTACCAGCTGATATACTTTTTACAGGTAAGGGTACTGGGGTTCAGAAAGGTCAAATCACTTGCTCCAAAACATTAGTAATTAAAGACTAGAGCTGCCTTAAAAACTACCCTGCCCAAGCAGAGGCAGCAGGTAGAGTGTTTGTATGGTGGTGCCAGGGCCTTTTCTGTGATAGCTTGAAGTTTGCTGTTCTCCACACTCCTAGGCAGAAATCACAGCCAGAGGTGAAACTCAGATCAGCTCTGACATGGGGGGAGAAGCCTCGTCCGAACCCAGGGGTGCACAGAAGCAAAGATCCCAGGCTCTGTCACATTCCGCTTCGTTCTGAACTGGCATTGGTTTCTATGTGTTCATTCAAAAAAGATTGCAGAATGCTCGCGAGGTGCCCGGCACGGTTCCGGGTATAGTGCTTCAGTTGTGGTATGTCTGCAGGAAAGGGGAATATCCATTTCTTCTAAAGACTAAAAATGATGACTCAGAGGTCTGCAAATCCGCTGTCTTCCTCACCTCGCAGGCTTGCTCTGCTTCTGTCACTAGGTTGATTTGCTACTTGTGCTTCAGTGTCTCTGATCCTAGATAAGAGTATGAGGGAAAAAAGGAAGTGGGTATGGTGTAATTTTTTAATACAATGTTTTTAGGGCTGTCCTTGGGTTTTGTAAATGATAAATAAAAGTGTTCACTCTTCAATGCCATCCCTTGGGATGGCATTGAACCTCTGGAGTCAGTTTCACAGTAGGGAGAAACTGTAACTCTTTCATTCATGCATTCATTCACATGATAGCCAGGTATCAATCACCACGGTGGGACTGGGGATTAAAGATCAATGATCTGGTTTCACACCCTCAGTCTGAAAGGCAGGGAAGGCCTGATCTTTCCCTCAAGAGACTTTGATCTAGAAGTGGCAAGTGCCCACGTCCTTAGCACCCTATTAGACACATCCACCGCATCGTCCCGATAGTCACAATCTACCCTGCGTACCAAGCAAACATTACAGAGGCAGTTCTCTTAAGTCAACAAGTTCAACTTTAAGCATGCTATTTTAAAACTTTTACAGGGTATAACTTTTATTTACTAGAGATTTCACTTTCCATCCTATTGTGTTGTTCTAACATATAATAGCTGGTTGCACAATGGAATAAGTTGGCATAAGGCAACAATAATGCTTGTATCCTTCAATAAAGAAATAGACATAGCAATAAGAAGTATATTCTACCCTTGGGATCACAATTCACAGGGATCAACAACAGCTAGAAAATGACTCCTTCTATTTTCAGTCCAAGGTCTGTGGCTGTGAACTACACCCATTAATAAGAACTATGCATTTAATGCATTAGTGGACAACTTAGCCTGTTGAACACTGACTTTCGAACTAGAAAAAAAAGCTAGGGTTAAGAATAGCTTTAATCAAAGAAATGGAAATATAAAAGGGTTAATGGAAAATCTGACAGATATTTGCCTGTGATATAAATTAATCCTCTTTGCCCTGTGCTCATTAGCTGTGCCTTTCTAAGTCAGTTTCAGCTGTTACTGGGTGCTGGAAGGGAGGGGTGGTTTCTTTGGGTGAAATGAAAAGGAAGCCACCATGTTAATTTGTACATTTGCACAGTGATGGTTAATTAAAGTCAGGCACAAAGACTTTAGATTCAGGAGTTCTCAGTTTGAAACAAAAGATGGTACAAATGTTTAGACTATTGGGATCAGAGAGGTGTAATGTGAGTGAATCGTTTGACTCCTTCACATTGTCAATCCAGCAAGGGAGCCCAGGCTTACATGTGTATAGACATGCGTGCAAGCACACGCGCGCGCGCACACACACACACACACACACACACACACACACGGGCAGCCCTCTGGGCACTAATTAGAAAACGCTGTTGGAATATTTGCACTTCATGCAATGCATTGAAACAGTGAAGTGGTGCATTATTCTCTGAGCAATAAACTGTGGAGCGTAATGTGAAAAGCCAGCAACTGCTAACCTGCAAGACCAGGTTTTCAAGGCCCTTGAGGGTTCACCCTGAATCCTGTGGCTCCTCTCGGGAGCTCCAGTGTATGCCATTAGGAAGCATGACCTTCGCCGACAGGGAGCTTGGCCCTCCTTGATGGTCCCCGGTCTGTGCGGGCTGGTACCACGGCCTTGCCGCCTGCTCCCTCGCTCGTGGTCAGGCAGGAAAGTCCACGAGACTCTTATCTCCAATTAATCACCAAAAAAGCAAGAAGTGGAGCTGGGCTCAAGTGGTAGAGAGTTATCCTTGAGCACAAAAGCTCAGAGACAGCATCTAGGCCCAGAGTTCCAGCCCCAGGACTGGCCAAAACAAAACCAAAAAGGTCTCCACAGCTGGTGTCTCTGCATACGCGTACTGTACGAGACACACATCATCATTTTATACACATTCCTTGAACCTCTCTGAGACTCAGCCAATGTGGTATTCAGATGATGGAAAACATCACACATCTCAGCAGTAGTCAAAATAACTCTCAACGGCAAGTCTTTTAAAATGAAGAGTTCCTCTGTTTATGCATTGCACTGAGGTAAGAAAGGAGAATGTTGGTTCTAAAAAACAGAAACCCAGGACCCACAAGCCTAGCAAACCAGGGTTAAGCTGGTCGACTCCTAGGAAAGCTCCGGACCACACCTGCAGGGACCTACCACGCAGGCCATCGAGTATGCCGCGGACAGGGCTGCAGCCCAGCCCAGCCAGAGTAGAAACACGTCTCCCATCAACCCTGTGGACAGCACCATGAGCAGGGGGTCCCAGACACCAGTTCTCTTGCCTTTCCAGGAACCTGTGGGGGGCTGTGTTCATGCGAGGTTCCTTCCCTCCCACACAGCTGGTCCTGTGGGAAGCCGGTCAGACAGACCCCTCCCCCGCCCGGCTTTCCCTGGCTCGGCCGCCTTCGCTCATTACGCAGACCTTCCTCTCCCGCTTCCGTCCTCAGCATCCACTCTGGCACTTTGTGGGCACTTAAGTGTGTGATCAATAATTGATGGCGTATCGAGGGCTGGAGTCAGTTCTTGGGGGATCTGAGATGAGGAAGGTGAAATCCTGCCTGGTCTGAGAGGGAGACGGACAGACAGCTAAGACTCCACACGGGTTGTCAAGCCACGTGCCTGTAAGAGCAGCTTCTCTAAAGGAGAACAAAGGAAATTTGAGCACCTCACTGAAAAAAATGAGAAACCACTGCAGCTGTTTTCTGATTTTTGTAGTCTCCTAATGAGAAGCAGCCCTCGGAACCTACCCCTGGAACGCCCGTGTTCTGCCCGGCGCAGTACCGATGCGATGGGACTTGTTTTCACCAGGGGAATATTATATCAGAAGGAACATAGAAAACATTATCGATATTTTCCTTGGGAAACCCGTTAGCTACTAACACTGAGCCTCTCAAACTTCAAAACTGAAAACAACTACATGATCGGCCTTGCAATAAAGAGTGGGATTCAGGGCCAAGCTGGAGCTCTGGTTCTCCTTTCCCTTAACTTGTATTTTTCCAGGGCAGTACTCCACAGAAAAATAAGCTGCCCGCTCCTGCACCCGGCACAGCACCTCGCACCATCCACTGAGCGCTCTCTGCGGGTGTGGCTCAGCAGACAACCCGGGGAAGCAAAGGCATTTCCACGAGGTTTGGCTGATGCAACCAGAGAACACTTGCTTGCTCAGACACAGGAACCTAACTTTCACTCCCCTGTCAAAAACGCGGACGCGCAGGAATTCCGCATCCCTCTTCTCTCAGCTTGCAGCACTCTGTGCAGACAGACGCAGAGAGCCTGGGGCCGTGGCTGTGAATCCTCCCTCACAGTCAGAGCCTCTCCCAGAGTCTACTAAGGAGATCAGTTGCTGTTACTTTCTTTGTTGGGACCACGGTTCCCAGGTGACCCTCTGAACTCGCCTGAGAGCAGGGCAGGCTCCACCCTTCACACCCCAGCTTTTCCTGAGAAGCTGATATTGGCGAAGGCCTCACGCCCGGCCTCAGTGCCATGCAGCGTCCGAGGCCTTACCACAATGCCTCTGTTTCCCTAGATGTCCATTGAAGCCAATGATCGGCCGTGCACAGCGCCTCTACACTCTTGTATCTGTGCCTCATAACCGGGGAGCCGGTGGAGAGTTGCTCCACGTTATGTTCCTATATGAGCACATTCAAGACCAAAATATCCCGAGCTATTATCATTTAAAAATTGAGAACTTCCTACAGATGAGCCCTGCAAGTCAGCTGCAGCCAGCTACTTGGTAAGTTCATCGCAGTTCGTTCTCGGTGCCGTCCTCAGGAATGGAAGCGGGGATGCGCAGCACCACGGGCCAGACGGGCTTCCTGGGTCCTTGCCCTGTGCTGTTGTGAGCAAAGATATTAGAACTTACCAGGGAGGAAGTCAGTGCTCAGCCAGCCAGAGCTCGGCACATCTCCTTCGTCACAGCAGAGCCAGAAGGGCCTCGTGGCACCCAGCTAGCTCAGGAGCCTCATATTTCTACAGGAGAGACCATCGCCTCAGCCCATTAAATTGTCACTGCTTCCAGCTAGGACAGCTCTACTAATTACGTGTGAGTCTGACAAGAAGGAAATCAAATAAAAAAGAAATAGAGGAGGTGTCAAAGGGATGGGAGAATATAAAAGCAAAACAAAAACCTTCTTGCGAGGTTAAATGGATGATTTTTGCCCATAATGCAGAAGAAGGAAAGATTCACAGCACAAAGAATGCAATAAAACCGGCCAAGTTATTCGGTATTGTTATAGTATTAACGCGGCAGATCGGGGCTCGTCCTGTAAATCACATACAGTCTGTTCCCTAAAGATTACACTTGGTTTCCATAATAGGGTTTTTAAGTCCTCACAGATTGGAAGTATAAATATGGAAATTTATGGTTATCGATACCTTGAGCCAAATCTGAAGAGAAGGGGTTTGGACTGAGGTCTAAAAGCCCTTGGCTGAACTGGAGCCTCTGAGAGATGGTTCAGTCTGGAGCTGCGTGTTGAGAGGTGAGGAGTAGGGTGGTGGTAGGGGGACCTCCCTCAGCAGCACCCTCGCCTTGGACACCCAAATGTCACTTTGGCTGAGCTCTGAGCTCTGCTCCCATTCACGATCCTTCCGTAGTGAGAGTGGTTTTGCATGGGAGAAAAATGAGGAAGGGAGTATCAAGTTCAACAAGAAATGTACTCACGGGACTGGGAAGTTGGTTCAGTGGTAGAGCGCTTGCCTTGCATGCCTGAGGGCCTGGGTTCGATTCCTCAGCACCACATAAGCAAAAAGAAAAAAGCCGGAAGTGGCGCTGTGGCTCAAGTGGTAGAGCACTAGCCTTGAGCTGAAGAGCTGAGGGACAGCACCCAGGCCCAGAGTTCAGGCCCCACAACCTGACCAAAAAAAAAAGGAAATGTACTCACTACCTTACTTGCGATGTCACTGTAACTCCTCTGTACATCAACAGTCTTTTTGCAGTGAGGCCGTTTCCTTATAAAGCAGTCTCTCCATCAGCCTCTCCCTCAGAGCCATCTCTCTTTTTTTTTTTTTTTTTGTCGGTCATGGGGCTTGAACTCTGGGCCTGGGGCGCTATCCCTCAACTCTTCAGCTCAAGGCAAGCGTTCTACCGCTTGAGCCACAGCACCACTTCCACTTTTCTAGTGGTTTATTGGAGATAAGAGTTTCATGGACTTTCCTGCCCAGGCTGGCTTTGAACCATGATCCTCAGATCTCAGCCTCCTGAGTAGCTAGGATTACAGGCATGAGCCACCAGCGCCCAGCCAGAGCCATCTCTTTGAGGTTGAAGAGACTTGGTTTCCTTCCTTTTCCTCCTCATGTCATATACATTTTTGGCTCTTGAGGCAAAGAAAAAAGCTAAATTTATATAAACTATGTAAAATTGCTCAGATTTAGGTTCAGAATTTCAGAGGTGGCATGTGTCCAGTAAACATCTTAGGAGAATCTCAGAATTGTGACCTCCTGGTTCCAGATCCTAATGCTAGAGCCATGTGTGACCTCTAGAACATGACAACATGGGATTACACTCTGAAGCCACGGCTTTGTAGCTAGAACTTCCCATAAGCAATCTAGGCAAGAGCAAACTGGAAATGGTGAAGCCCCCAAAGAAAAGTGTAGCCACTTAGAATTTTCTGTAGTTCCTTGTAAAATAGATTGTTTCGAAGTTGAATGAGTTGTGTCCTTGTGTCCCCCCAAATCTTATGACCCACCTAACTTGGTTTTCTTTGTCTTTAAAATGCAGTGTTGTTTGTTGTTGTTGTTTGTTAGTCGTGGGGCCTGAACTCTGGGCCTGGGCACTGTCCCTCAGCTCTTCAGCTCAAGGCTAGTGCTCTACCACTTGAGCCTCAGCCCCACTTCTGGCTTTTTCTGCTTAGATGGTGCGGAGGAATCGAACCCAGGGCCTCATGCATGAAAGGCAAGCACTCTACCACTGAGCCATCTTCCCAGCCCCTAAAATTCAGTGTTCTTTTTGAGGTTTTGTTTGTGATATGTTTGCTCCAACAGACTAGAGAAAGGAAACAGACTGATGCAGTTAGAGGTGGTTTCCTGATGGCCATGCTGAGTCCAGTCTTCTGTCCAGGACAGCCGGTCTTCAAAGTGGACAGTGGCCATCTATGTGTCATGTTGACCCTTCCTCTGTACCTGTGTGTTAATCATGTATAGGAGAGACTGAACACAACAAGAAAGCAGGAAGAAGAAGGGTGAAGGAGATGAGATTTAGTGTCTGGGTGATTAGAAGAATGACATTAAATCCAGCGCTCCTAAATAGCTGCAAACCTTTTCAGACCATCAGCACAAACCCAGTCCATAACAGAAAACTAGGCTTTGCCTTCCCCACCCCCACCCCTCCTCACTTGAGAACTGCAGTCTTGAGCCCAGCACCCCCCAGCTCCTCTCCACAGCCCACCATGCTCTCCCGAATCCATGGGCACAGCTGCATTGCTCAGCAGCCACTGGGGTCACACTGGGCCCCCTGTCCAGTGCCACCTGGAGCCAAGTTTCTCCGCAGGCCAGGATCCCGGAGTCCTTGGGACTGTTCCCCTTCCTTGCCCAGGGCACCTGGCCTGCAGCTTGGCTCCACACTGCCAGGTGCGGAGCTGCCCAGACACACCACCCTCTTTGAGAAACTGATCCTAAAAGCCTCTGTTAAGAGGAGCTCACTCAGCTGGGCGCTGGTGGCTCACGCCTGTCATACTAACTGCTCAGGAGGCTGAGATCTGAGGATTGCGGTTCAAAGCCAGCCCGGGCAGGAAAGTCCTCGAGGCTCTTAGCTCCAAAAAACCACTAAGAAACTGGAAGTGGTGCCATGGCTCAAGTGGTAGAGCGCTCACCTTGAGCTGAAGAGCTGAGGGGCAGCGCCCAGGCCCAGAGTTCAGGACCCACGACTGACAAAAAGAAAAAAAGGAGGCACTCACTCCCTCGGGAGGCCTGGCCCTTCTTCTGCCCTGGATAGATGGCTGCCTCACTGACCACAAATGAGAGCTGCAGGTCAAGCCCTGTGCGCTTTCCTTAGCCAGGAGGCCCCTCCGCCCCATGGCGTGCCCGAGGCGGGGATCGTGCCCTCACACGCGGCAGATGCACCCACCCCTGAGCAGCAGATCAGCCTCCCACCTGCCTGTTCCGAAAGCTGGGCCCAGAGACATGCGCCTCATACTGGTGTAAGCCACATGACTTTGGTTTAATATCCAGTATATTTACATCTCCCACGGCTGAACGGGAATACTCTGTGCTTATTTTAATTTAAAGATAGAAACAATTCAAATAGTCATTTTATAAAAGAAAAGGGAAGGAAGGGAAGAAAGAAGGAAGGAAGGAATAGAAGAAAGTATGAAGAAAGAATGCGAGAGGAGACTGGTTTAGCAAGGAGGATGAAGGAGGATGAATACTACCAAAATAAATCATTTGCAGCTATGAGCACAGAGCAATGAAACCTGCCGAAATGGTTCGGGAAGGGAGCAGGGACAATGAAAAAGAGCGGATATTGCCTGGAATGTAGAATAAAGGGTAGAAATGTAACAATGAGCCCCCATAACTAATGTAACTTAATTTTTTTAAGGAGAGAGAAGCATCCTTTTTACTTTTTCTTTCTTTTTTTTCCCCCCTGGTTGTGGGGCCTGAACTCTGGACCTGGGCACCGTCCCTCAGCTCTTCAGCTCAAGGCTGGTGCTCTACCACTTGATCCACAGCGCCACTCCTGGCCTTTTCTGCTTATGTGGTGCTGAGGAATCAAACCCAGGGCCTTTTGCATGCTAGACAAACACTCTACCACCAAGCCACCTTCCCAGCCCCATCCTTTTTACTTTTAACTCTCAAGCTAAAATGTCTGTTTTTTTAAGTGACCAGCCCCTCTGAGGACTGCATCAGCCCCTTCCGGGGTGGGGGTGGCAGGACTGGACCTTTTTGCTAAGCTTCCTCGGGAAATTCTATCGTGAGGAGGGCTGAGAATCGCAGTTGGAGGGGGGTTCACATGCACCACACTTCCGTCTTTAAAAAGTTACGCTTTCTTACATTATGTCAAAGAAAACCACTCTAGGGCAACGATCAGAGAAGGAGTGGGGGAACCTTTCCTCCAATGACTGGAAAGGGATTCCTGTGGAAATAGCTGATGGAAACATTTCCTCAGTGAAATGCTCTATGCATTGTTACTATGACTCAGGCTACTCAATAATTAAGAGGTAACACTCACTGCCACCATTGAACCATGTTTAGAAGGAAACTTGCTGGACCAGAAATGTTAGTAGGTTAGAAGTTTTTTAAAAACGTACTTGGGCAGGTATTTTCTTCATATAGTTGCCTCTTTCTTAGGAGAGAATTTTCCACTTGATTTGGCCCTGTTCATAAACCAACAAAGCAGGAAAAAATGTTAAAACTTAGTACAGAGATCAAAAAGACTTTTAAATCAGCAGCTTGAAACCACAAGCTTGTAAAATATGGTATTCAAAGCTGTTTCCTGGGAATGTATAAGTGATCTGGGTTGAAATGAAAACAACCATGTGAGGTTGTTGTAGTTAATTTATTTTTTCAGCTAGCATTCATATTAATGTGAACTACCATAGTCAAAAATATGATAGGCCTCAATAAATTGCTATTTCCTCGCTTTGATTGGATTCCCATGAAAGTATTTGAAGCAATTTTATCGTAGTAATTTTCTGTTTACCAATAACAGATTTAAAGGATTTTTTAGAAAAGAACCCAAATGTGATATAATTTCTGTAAGAGTTTCATTTGTTGAATCTTATCCTATATACAATAGAAGAGTAGCGTAATTGTGTTTTCAAGGATGGGTGCTGATATAATAGACCTGCTTCTGAAATAGAAACATTACAGTAACAGGACTATAAACACATTTGCCTCCATAGAAGTGGCCCCTTGTTACTTCTCTAAATGTGGGTTCTGTGGGGTGGAAGCAGGCATTTTGAAAGGTCTGTGTCTTGAATTGCTGTTTTTTAAATAGTGTCAGGCTATACTGGACAGACACGCATCGATTCTGGAAATGTGGCATGAGGGGAAAAAATGTATGTAAATGGAGGCTTACTGGTAGAAGAAAAAACGTTAGAAAGGCAAGTTAGATGCTGGGTTTGCCGTTAGGAACTCTGGGAAGAATGGATGTTGTCCTTTCCCGACCCTTTCTGGCTCAGACACCTCCTCTGGCTCTTCATTCCTCCAGGCAGGAGCCAGAGCTGATACCAGGCCCTGTGAGATCTGCGTGCAAGACACACATTCCTCTGCCTGGAGACACTCATCACCCCGCCAAGCCTCAGCCTCCCCCACACCTCCTGACGCCCCACCTTCCCAGAGCACACCCTTCCCCCCCATACCTCCTGACGCCCCGCCTTCCCAGGGCACACCCATTCCCCCCACCTCCTGACGCCCCACCTTCCCAGAGCACACCCATTCACCCCCACACCTCCTGACGCCCCGCCTTCCCAGAGCACACCCATTCCCCCCACCTCCTGATGCCCCACCTTCCCAGAGCACACCCATTCACCCCCACACCTCCTGACGCCCCGCCTTCCCAGAGCACTCCCATTCCCCACACCTCCTGACGCCCCGCCTTCCCAGAGCACACCCTTCCCCCCACACCTCCTGATGCCCCGCCTTCCCAGAGCACACCTACTCACCCCACACCTCCTGACGCCCCGCCTTCCCAGAGCACACCGGTTCCCCCATGCAGAATCTGTGCCGCCTACCTCCGTATGCCCCTCTTCTGGGCTCATTTCTCTCCATAGCTCTTACACTTTGAGGTAGACTGCTCACTATGCTTGTGCTTTTGTTTATGTTGATCTGTTAGGTGTCTCCAAAAGCAGCTGCCATTTTAACATCACTCACTGATTTCTTCCAGCACCTTGTACAGTACCTGGCGCATACTACATGCTTTACTATTTGTCAGACCAAAAAAAAAAAAAAAAAAAAGCCTTTGCATCCTTGTCCTTAGCTAATGTAACCCAATCCCAGAGCCCTGGTTCCCCTGACTCCAAGGAGCCTGGCCTCACTTTACCCAGTTCTGGACACACACACACACACACACCCTGCGTGAACCACCCTCTCCCTGCTTGCCTTCCTGCTGTCTTGCAAAGAACTGGGAGCTCACCATGGAGCTCAAGATTTCTGTGTGTGGTGTGTATGCGTGTGTATGCATGCTTGAGCATATGTGTGTGCATGGGTGTGTATGAGAGAGAAAAACAGAGACAAACCGAGACAGAGTACTGTATCTGGGTCTAAGAGAGAAGAACATGGGAAGTGCTCACATGTTTGGAAGTATGTGCCTTGACAACTAACATCAGTTGCTATCTTGGGTGTATTTTATGAACTCGAGTTCTTTATTTTGTCTTTGGAATAAATGCTCGATAAAACCAGAGCAGTTTTTCTAGTGGCCTTTCTTGGAGCATTTCTTTAATGTGATTAAGTATTTTAAATCTATCAGCCATGTATTCAAAACATTTCTGAAACTGCTAAAACATGAGGTGCAGAAAGAACCTATTTTTCATTCCATGTTGATAGAAAGATACCGTCCCTGGGTTAAGATGGTAGCTTCTTGGTTTAAGGCAGGAATTCTAATCCTTTCTAAACTCTCAACATTTGTTTTTTATACACATAGAATGTAAGCTAAATGACAAACCCAATCATGTGTATAAAATGTGAGACTCTTCAAGAGCAAAAGATCAGTTGTTCTAAAATTATAATAGCAATAATTATTAAAGCCAAGTAAAAATGTATTCTATGCTAAGTATTGTTAACTGTTAATTCATTTAATCCTCACAAAAGTTTTTTTTAGGAAGATACTGTTATCTTCCGTGCTTTCTGGCGTATCAAGGTACTTGTGAGTTAACCGCTTTCACAAAATCATGCAGTTAGTAAGCACGTTGTACAGACGGGATAGCGTGCCTTCCACAAGTGTAATTGTGAACTTTTCGTGTGACACTGAACTTAGGCCAGAGGCTTGCTGCTGTCCTCGGCTGTGAGGACAGCCGGCCAAGA